GAGCCAGACAAAACTCTTTTCGAACTCGTTGAGATCGCGCAAAAACGAGAAGCATCAATCTGGCAATCAAAAGAAGTTTCCTTTCCCATAAACAAGGTACACCAAACTCATCATAAGTCAAAGGCAGCCAAAGAGCGAGGAGCGGYGTGGCGCCATCAGTCTCAATCAAAGAACAACCGGTCAGATTCAAACCAACAACAACCACAACGTGACAACACAAAGAACAATAAGAGTTCATGTTTTCATTGCGGTAAGCCAAATCACGACTTCATTAATTGTAAGTATAAGTCATATAAGTGTAAAATTTGTTCTAAGGTGGGACATTTGGCAACCATTTGTAAAAATAAAAAGTTGATAGGTAATGTAGAGGTCATGAGTGACGACTGTGTGGACTATTTAGATGAATTCAATTTGTTTAAGATTAAGCCTGAGACTAAACCGTTTCAAGATGCTCACATACCCCCTGAATTAATAGCAGTTGAGGTTAATAATAAGAATTTAAATATGGAGATTGACTCAGGTGCGGCGAGATCGGTGTTGACTGAAAGKGTTTTCAAAGAAAAGTGGCCAGATATAAAATTAAACAAGGTTGATACTAAACTAAATTTCTTTGATGGTACTTCTCTAAAACCTATTGGTGAATTTAATGCAAGGATAAAATATAAAGACAAAAGTGTCAGTATTAAGTTATTAGTAGTTAAAAGTTCACTTAATTATTATCCCTTATTTGGTAGAGACCTTATGAAACTATTTAATATTTCTTTAGTACAAAATTGTAAAAACATTAACAGTGTAGAAAGTATTAAAAATGAAAAAGTTAATCAACTAGTAAACGAATTTAATGATATTTTTGACAATAGACTAGGAGAGTACAAACATTTTGAAATTCATTTAGAACTAAACAGTGATGTAAATCCTATTTTTTGTAAGCATCGTGCTATACCTTTTGCCTATAAAATTGCTGTTGAAAAGGAATTAGACAAGTTAGAAAAGGCTGGTKTAATCAGAAAAAGTGAAAATTGCCAATGGGGAACACCCCTTGTCCCTGTGTTGAAACCCAATGGAGAGTTGAGGCTGTGCACAGATTATAAGACCACTATCAATAAATACATTAAAGATATACATTATCCCTTTCCCAGAATTGAGGAGTTATTTGCAAGCGTACAAGGCGGTGAAAAGTTCTCTAAGTTAGATTTTAAAAATGCATATAATCAGTAAAAGGTAGATTCACAAACAAGCAAGTTATTAGCATGGAGCACACACAAAGGAGTATATGAAGTTTTAAGATTACCCTATGGTGTCAAACCAGCAACAGCCATCTTTCAAAGAGAGGTAGAAAAAGTGTTAAAAGATTGTCCCTTTACAGCTAATCTATTGGATGACTTAATTGTAACAGGTAGGAATGATAATGAACACTTAGAAAATTTAAGGGAAGTTTTTAAGCGTTGTAAAGAAGCGGGATTTCAACTTAATAAGGACAAGTGTCAGTTTTTTAAAACCCAAGTCGAGTACTTAGGACATGTAATTGATAAAGATGGGTTAAAAACAAGTAAAAAAAAAGTATTATGCATTTCAAATATTCCAATTCCTAAAAACGTTACCGAACTAAAGTCTTTTTTGGGAATGATTAATTACTATGGTAAGTTCATTAAAAATTTATCAACTATATTAGCTYCACTTCATAATCTACTTAAAAAAKAGATACCATTTATTTGGAATGATCAATGTTCGAAAGCTTTTGTTAAGGTAAAAGAGTTATTAAAGTCTGATCAAATTCTTACACACTTCAATCCTACTTTACCCATAATCTTATCATGCGGCGCATCTCAATTTGGTGTAGGAGCTGTCATTTCTCATAAATTTCCAGACTCATCTGAGCGACCCATTAGCTACGCATCACGCACTTTGACTAGTGCTGAGAAAAACTATTCTGTTATTCATAAGGAAGCGTTAGCAATTATTTGGGGAATAACTAAATTCTATCAATACTTAAAAGGTAGAGAATTTATTATTAGATCTGATCACAAACCTCTGATACCATTACTTGGAGTAAATAATCCAATACCTAAAATGGCATCAGGACGATTACAAAGATGGGCTTTTTTCCTTTCTGGATTTAACTATCATATGGAGTACATTAAAGGCTCAACAAATACTATAGCAGACAGTCTATCTCGCTTACCATGTCTAGAGAGTGATGARCAACTAACTAAGGTAGGGAATAACACTGATGTTTTAAACTGGGTAGAAGGATATTTACCTGTTAGTTTTTACAGATTAAAGCTGAAACAGCTAAAGATAAAATCTTACAAAAAGTAATGTGTTATTTAAATAGTAGTTGGCCTAAAGATATACCTAATGAATTAAAACCATTTTACAATAGAAAAGATAAATTAGTGATAGAAGACAATATATTAGTGTGGGGTTACAGGATAATTATACYTGATAGTCTAAAGGAGTTACTTTTAAAAGAATTACATAGTTCTCACCTTGGTATCGTTAAAATGAAATCTATGGCTCGTTCATACTTTTGGTGAACATCTATAGATTCTGACATTGAACGTACAGCCAAAAGTTGCACTCTATGCTTAGAAAGTAGACCTGGACCACAAAAATGTATTCTAACTAAATGGCCAAAATCACAACATGTCTTTGAGCGCATTCATATGGATTATTTAGGGCCCAYTAATAATAAAATGTTCTTAATCATAATTGATTTTTATAGCAAGTGGCCAGAAGTATTCGAAGTAGCCAACGCTGATACATTAGAGAAACTTAAAGAAACATGTGCTAGGTTTGGTCTCCCTGATACTATAGTTTCTGATAACGGTACCCCCTTCACATCTAATGAGTTCAGCCAGTTTTGTGAAACTAATGGTATTAAACACTTGACCTCCCCTCCGTTTCACCCTGCTAGTAATGGTGCAGCAGAGAATGCCGTCAAAAACTTCAAGTTAAGTTTCAGTAAAATTATGAAATAAAGTAAAATGTCAGTTAACTCAGCTATACAGAAATATTTATTTTTCTACAGGAATAGTGAGCACAGTACAACTGGTTATACTCCATCTAAATTAATGTTTAAGAGAGATGTTAGAACTAGATTTGATAGGATAAGGAATAGTGACAAAAATAGTGACAAAGCAACTAATAGAGAGATCAGAAATTATAAAGGCAACGTAACTAATAAAACGTTTAAGGTTAGAGAAGATGTGTATATTAGAGATTACAGCAAACCCAATAAGAAGAGTTGGAAAGCATGTGTGATTGATGAACAGCTAGGAAAGTATTTATATATCTGTAAGGATAAATTTAACAACAGCTATTTCAAAAGACATGTTGATCAAATCATAAAAGTAGGCTCATTCTTTAAAGAGGTAGGTCTAAGCAAAAAGATTAACGATTACGACAACAATAACAGCTATAGTGAAAAAGAGAGTAGCATTTAAGTACCAATAGAGAGCGAAGAAAACAAGACAGTGCCATTTGAAACTGGTATTGAGAGTAATAATGAGACAACACTTATGCAAGAAATAACAAAAGGTCCTGAGATAGTTGAATGTATTAAAAATCAAGGTAACAGACCTATAAGAAAAATTGTCAAACCAAACAAATTTAAAGATTATGTGTGTTAACTGTGAATTTGGTTGCAGTGAATAATAAACCTATACATTAGCACATTATATATATRCATATAAAAAAAAAAGAGGAGAGAGAGAATATATAGTCATGTTTACTCAATTGTTACTATTATATTATTATCATTGTGTTTATATTACTTATTTTGTATTTCATATTTTGTATAGTTCATATTCATGTTTATATGTACACCGATTTATTATATTGTATATCTATATTTCAAAATTGTGTATATTTAAGTTATGATATACTATTGTTTTTTTTATTGTAATATCTTATTCAATGTTCCATGTCCATCATCTTATGTTATTAATTATTATATACTAATAAACTTAGGGATGAGTATTGTAATATATACGACGTCCTTGACGTTAGTATAGTGATAAGCTACGCTTATCTTAAATTATATTCTTTTCTTCATTGTGCATTGTGCTTCCTTGCTTAGCAACAGCATTATTATATTTCACGTTAAGTAATGTCTCATGTGTTATTAAATAAAGTTATAACAGTTATAAATTAAAACATGTTGTTTTACCTACTACAATAACCAATGTATTGATATGGTGTTATACATTACAGATTTATTATGTACCTACCTACATACATGTATTATAGTCTTTACTAGGAACAGTAGGTAATAAAAATGACGAAATTGTATTTGTCGATAACAATATTTTATAGATTAATTGGGTAGCAAGAATTCTGGTAAAATTTATTAACGAACAAATGGAATTTTGCCGTCCGGATCACCGCGTTCACCGGATTATCGGGAGTCCGGACTATCAAGGCTCTACTGTATAACTATTTAAAATTAGATCAACTTACGTCGCTCTATAATAGACAGAGAATACCCAATAATAATAAATAAGTGTATAATATACTTTATAATTATAACATATTCATCAAATGTTATGATTAAAGTGGAAAATCAAGTGACTTATTTGAAACGTTTGCAATGCATTTTTCAAGTTTTTTGGTAGAATATACAGGATGATTTTTTTATCGAAGAACACTCATTATTTAAAAAAGTATGAGTGTATGAGTATGAGTGTTCTTCGATAAAAAAATCACCCTGTATATTTCGAAACATAATAAWTAGGGTAGAAATATCATTAGAACCTTATTTGAAATAAGACTTCTTAGTTATAACATATTCATACTTATATGTCTACCATCAGGCCAAACATAGATTTAAACATAATAAATATGTAGTTTAAGGTTATTATTTAATTATAATTGATTATAATTAACWGTTATTTTTTTTATAGAAACTCGGAAAATTGAATACAGTTATTTTAAAAAAAAAATCACACTTCTTATATTAATCATGTTGCATAAAATACGAACATAACATTAAACATTAAAAATATTTAAAATGCAAATTATAAATTTTTTTAAATTTAATAATTATTTTAAATTAAATTAACTTACGTAATACTATAATAGATAGAGATTACCCGATAATAATAAGTGTATTATAATATTTTACAAATATAACATATTCATCAAATGTTATGATTAAAGTGGAAAGTTAAGTGATTTATTTAAAATGTTGCAATTAATTATCAAGATTATCAGTAGAAAATTTGTTTCGAAATATAATAATTATGATAGAAAAATCATTT